AAACCCTATTCCAGAACTTCTTTTTCTCTGAAAATCGTCTCCAGGTCTTCCTTCTATCAGCCAAAAGTCCCCCAAGTCGTAATGGACAAGGATATATATAATTTCTGATTTTTTCCCCGTTCACATCGTGAGCCAATAAGTCTCACGTCGTGAATATGAGATAAGCGTATTCGGCAAGGACTCTTTCATCCGGACGCATATCTTCTAGAATTCTCCACTCACGTCGTGAGTCATGAAATATTCACGTCGTGAGTACGATAATTGCTGAATTTTCCATTCTTCTTTCCTTCAAGCCTCCAAAGTTCCAAGTTTTGTCAATTTCAGTCCCTATCTTCGAAAATGCTTCTATTTGGCTGCAAAATATAATTTTAGCTTATAAGTACCATTATTCTATGCAAATAACCAAATTATTAGTAAAAATGTAAATAAATATTGCCTAAAAATATGTATAAATATGGCAATATCAGCATTCTATAGAATTTTTTTAGGAATCTGACGGTTTCACTTTGATAGAATTTTAATTAATATTTATATGTTGAATGTGCAGTTGCTACACAAGCAAAAATACAATTTGGCAAGTCATTCATGGACTAGTACTACCACATCTTTCACCAATCTCCTGAATTGGTTCATATGTTTTATCAACAATCAAGCATCTTAAGCAGGCCTTATAGGAATGGATTGATAAGGAATCAAAGATTGATCACACGCTTAAGAATGTTGTTATTCTTTAAGAATTGTTTTTGTTATTATTTCAGAATGTTGTTATTCTTCAAGAATATTTTTTTATCATGTTTATAAAATGTAATCACTCGATATATTAATATTTCAAGAAATGGATTTTGTACATTAAATTCTTTCAAGAATTACTTTTTTATGAAAAATAAAAAGTTGAATGGTTTTTGTGCTATAAGAAATTTTTGATATCATATAATAAGTATATTCTTTCAGAATGCATACCATATTCACTAACATCTTTTATCAGAATGTCTGAATTAAGTGAAATATTATCCTATAAAATCATATTTTTATAATTAAGAAAATCAATTATCTCTTAAAATTGAAAATTTCCATTTTTTAAAATGTAGCTTAATTGACTGAAATACCCTTATAATGAGATTTATATGATTATTTGATTTTCTTTAATTTAGTAATATTGGTAAAATCACTTTCTTAAAATAAGTAAAACCCTTGGTCCACATTCATCCCTACATCCACACAATATATATCATCCACATTATAACCTAGCCCATATATATATATATATATATATATATATATATATATATATATATATGAAAATGTATTCTAGTGGTGAAGAGCTAACAATTTTGTGGTTAAATTATCTCTACAATATGTTATTTAAGCATATTATTGATTTAAATTTAGTCAAACATAAGAATATCTATGAAATATTTCGTTTGAAGTGGTAGTTGTTGTTATTTAGGCCTTTTGTAAGAGTAATATTTTTATTAGGAACAATTAGAACTTATATAGAGCTAGAAAATTGTGTCAAATTATATAGAGCTAGAAATTGTGTATGGAACACGAATTCATGTCCAAAATGCGATGAACGTGTCAGGAACATGAAGAAAAAATATGGTACATAAAAAAACATGTCTGAAACACACATAAATCTTGTCAATAGCTTTATGCTAGTTTTTTATTTTTTGTAGTATGATAATATTGCTAGGGTGCCAAACCCAACAAACAATAGGGGTACATTATATTCCAAAAGAACACTACCATATTGCACTAAAAGGTAGTACATGATAAGTAAAAGGTAGTACATGATAAGCAGAGTTGATCCACAAAGACAAATGGCTAATGTCTATACCTTTTTGTGTAAGGTACTTTGGTTACCAAAAAAGAAATAAGGGGGGGGGGGGTATATGCAACAATTCAAGTAAATGAATAAAGAAATGAGTAAATGATGAATTAGTTAAAGTAGATCCAAACTTTATAAGGATTCCAACTCTATATATGACAACTTAGCAATGGGATTCAAAGATGACATGATATCTACTCAATTCTACCTAAGTTGGTACTTGAAAGTGTTAACAAACTCTAACACTTCCTGTAACGTCCCAAAATTCAAGACCAAAAATTTCATTTTTAATATAACTAAAAACACATTTTTAACTTGGTTCACACATTGAAAGCATTTCAAATAAAACATTTATCAGAGTTTATTCCCAGAAATCACATATTGCGGAAAACATAGGTGTATGTGCTGCGATCGTCCCGAACTCCTTTATTTGAAAACTGTAGGTATCTGAAACCAAAACTGAAAACCGCAAGCACGAAGGTTAGTGAGTTCCCCAAATACCACATACCATACATATCAACATACTGCCTAGCATATCTGAG